GCACCACTGCACTCCAGCCTGGGTGACAGAGTGAGACTCCGTCTCAAAAATATAAAAAAATAAAAATAAAAAAATAAATAAATACTTTTTTTGTGGAGACAGCATCTCGCTATGTTGCCCAGGCTGGTCCTGAATTTCTGGGCTCAAATGATCCTCCCACTTTGGTCTCTGCAAGTGCTAGAATTAAAGGCATGAGCCACTGTGCCTGGACTTAGTGTAATTATTAATAGCATTCTCCTTTGCCCTTAAAGTGTCCTGGTTTGGATGATAAGTTTTATGGTGACTCTATCTACAACTCCCCTTTAAAAGGTCACTTATATAATGAACATTTACACTAAAAGGCTACTTTGCTCTGGGCAATGTTCTAGGTGCCAGGAATGCATTATAGAACGAGACAGACAGGTTCCTAATCTCATGGAGCTTCATTTTATTGACTAGGCAGGATCACAGAGATCGAGCTCCACTCATGTCAGCTCTTAGCACTGCAGCAGTGGAACCTGGTAGGGCACACCGAACTGCCACTGTCGGTCCTTTTACATTTTTTAGCCCTTTCCACAATGGAAGAGTAGTCTCAGACCAAATTTGACTTTGTCTTAGCTCTCTGGATCTCTCCTAAAACTGCACGACAAAAGGATCTACTCTTGTTCTTTCTGCTCTAACTTCATTTTCTCTTCCCAGTGCTGCCTCTTCTTTTTCTCAGGAACCTCAAAAGGATTGACTCTTGTGAAGTTCGCTCATGTGAACTGGGATTCTTTTGGTTGTGAAAGGTTTGAAACTTCTAAGAAAGTTTCTTGTGTGCACAAGAGGCAGAGTGTGTAGTGTAGGCAGAGTGTAGGGACAGGAGACCTAGTCCTTATGCTGTTCTGACTCACTGTAGGACTCTGAACATATAGAAGTTTTCCTATCTGAGATGGAAAATGAGATGGTGGGGGTTGGATGATCTCTAAAATTCCATGACTCTAGCTTTGTATGATAAAACACTCATTTTTTATGAATGAAATATGATGGAGGGTACTGGCTTAGAAAGATAAACAAGTGTAACAACAAAGCAAGAGGAGTCAGAATAGGCTTAAGAAAAAAACTAGAAGCCTGGTTGAGCAAATCGAAGTAAATTGATATAACCTCAGGGCTAGAAATCCATATATCTTATCTTAGGAGTACAGGCGTACTTCATTTTATTGTGCTTCATAGATACTGTGTGCTTAAAAAAAAAAGGCAGGTTTGTGACAACGCTGCAAGTCTATCGGCACCGTTTTGCTAACAGTATGTGCTCACTTCCTGTTGCTGCGTCACATTTTGGTAATTCTCACATTTCGGTATTTCTCACATTTCAAATCTTCTCATTATTACTACATTTGTTACAGTGATCTGTGATCAGTGATCTTTAATGTTACTATTGTAACTGTTTTGGGGGTGCCACGAATTGTGCTCACGTAAGATGGTAAACTTTTTTTTGGTTTTGAGACAGGGTATCGCTCTGTCACCCAGGCAGGAATGCAGCTGCACTAATCATAGCTCACTGCAGCCTCAAACTCCTGGTCTCAGGTGATCTTCCTGCCTCAGTCTTAAGTAGCTGGGACTACAGATGTGTGCCACCATGCCTGTTTCTTTCTTTTTTTTTTTTTAAGAGACAAGGTCTTTTTTTTTTCAGAGACACCTGACCTCAAATGATTCTCCCATCTCAGCCTTACAGGTATGAGACACTGTGCCTAGCCTAAGATGGCAAACTTAATTGATAAACATTGTATGTGTGCTCCACTGACTGGTCATTCCCCTGTCTCTCTCCCTCTTCAGGCTTCCCAACTCCCTGAGATACAATAGCATCAAAATTAGACCATTTAATAATCCTAAAATGGCCTCTAACTATTCAAATGAAGTGAAGAGTGGCATGTCTCTCACTTTGTGGTTGCAGGGAGCAGGGTGATGAAAGGTCTGTCCAGGGGCCAGGAAGAACGGCCCACATCAATCTGCAGGAAAGCACAGCCACGAGAGAAAGATAAGAGGGATGAGATGACTGCTTTAGTAAGAAAGGAATAGCAAAGGCTAAAGAAGGCTAAGGTAGGCTGAAAGCTAGGCCTCCTGTGGCAAACAGCCAAGTGGTAAATGCAAAGAAAAAATTCTTTTTTTTGAGACAGGGTCTCACTGTCACCCAGGCTGGAGTACAGTGGTGCAATCTCACCTCACTGCAACCTCTGCCTCCCAGGCTCAACTGATCCTCCCACCTTGGCTTCCCAAGTAGCTGGGACTACAGGCATGTGCCACCATGCCCAGATAATTTTTTTTTTTTTTTTAGACGGAGTCTCGCTCTGTTGCACAAGCTGGAGTGCAGCGGCACGATCTTGGCTCACTGCAACCTCTGCCTCCCGGGTTCAAGCAGTTCTCCTGCCTCAGCCTCCCAAGTAGCCGGGACAACAGGTGCGTGCTGTCATACT